CTTGAACTCTGGGCCTGGGCGCTGTCCCTCAGCTCTTCAGCTCAAGGCTGGCGCTCTACCTCGGGAGCCACAGCGCCACTTCCGGTTTTCTGAGTGGTTTATTGGAGATCAGAGTCTCAGGGACTTTCCTGCCCAGGCTGGCTTTGAACCGCGATCCTCAGATCTCAGCCTCCTGAGTTGCTGGGATGACAGGCAGGAGCCACCCAATTCTGGATTGTAAAAGGCTATCAGAAATGGCTATGGGTATCTAGACAAAGGTTAAAGTGCCCCTCATCCCCTGAAGGATTGTTGGTGAGTAGCTGATTGAACAATGCAGGATTAAGGTCCATTGTATGGAAGGTGGCTGAATGGTTTTTGTTTGTTTTGGTTCCTTTTTCTTTCTAGGGCTGGGGTGGAACCCAGAGCCTCCCCCTCGTGCTGGGTAAACTGCTCTACCCCGGAGCTGAACCCCTTTGCCTGAGGAAGCTTTTAACAAATACATATTTTCTTCTGTCAGTCTTGGGGCTTGAACTCAGGGCCTGCGCGCTGTCCCTGAGCTTCTTTTGCTCAAGGATGGCGCTCTACCCCTTGAGCCACGGCACCCGTTCTGTCTTTTTCTGTGTATGTAGTACTAAGGAATCGAACCCAGGGCCTTACGCACGCTAGGCGATCGCTCTACCACGGAGCCACATTCCCAGCCCACCATCAAATGTATTTCTTTGATCGCTTCTCACAGGAACTTGGATGGGTGCTGTGTGAGGGTCTCTCTTCCTTCCTCACCTTTCTTTCTTCGTAGATGGCCGGATCGGTCCCCAAAGTGACCTTAGAAAGTAAACCTCCCCTCACTCATCTGACAGCTTCTAACTCTTGGCCTCTGAGGGTCCCCAAGCGTCACTGAGAAGCAGGGAAAGAAGCCAAGAGGCCAGGTACTGATTTCCCCGTGGGGCTCTATCATCCAGCCCCAAGCACGGCTTATCTAGGGTGGAACTCCACCCGAGCCCTGGGGGACCAGGCAGGGGTTAAACACCCTTCACCTCTGCCCTGAGGCCCTGAGAGACCAGGAAGGAGTTACCCGAGGCCCTGAGAGTCCAGGCAGAGGTTAAACCTCCTCTTGGCCCTTCTCCACGCGTCAGGGAAATCAGCTTGCACCCAGGGAGGTTCCCTGGGACGGGAGGCTGCCAGGCTCAGGCCTGTAATCCTAGAACGGCTCCAGCCTGCAGTCCTGGCCATCAGGGTCACGGGAGGAGGGGGCGTCCTTCCTGTGGGCGCCCCACAAGCCCTGACTTCAACCCTCAGTATGGGGAGAAAGAGGGAGAGAGAGAGAGAAGGAAGGAAGGAAGCATAGAAGAAAGCAATGAATCAGGAGGAAGGAAGGAGGGGGGGAGGCAGGGAGGGATCCGGGAGGAGAGGGGGAGGCAGGGAGGACTCCCGGGAGGAGGGGGGAGGCAGGGAGGACTCC